GGCATCGGTATACCCTAGAACTTGTAGTGAACTACCATCAAATACCAGACAAAACTCTTTTGTCCTTCGAAGGTATTTGAGTATGTTCTTCACAGCAGTCCAATGCTCCTGCCCTGGGTTTGCGTGGAATCTGCTTACCACACTCACCGCCTGAGCAATGCCCGGGCGAGTGCACAGCATGGCATACATGATGCTCCCTACGGCCGAGGCATAGGGAACGTCTCTCATGCTCTCAATCTCCCCAAAAGTCTTGGGGGACATCTTCTTAGAGAGAGTGACTCCGTGCCTGAAAGGAACGTTTCCTTTCTTGGAGTTTTCATTGCTGTATCTTTTGACAATTTTGTCAATATAAGCAGCTTGAGATAATCCAATTATCTGCTTCGATCTATCTCTATAGAGTCAAAGACCCAATATGTATGAAGCTTCTCCAAGATCTTTCATGGAGAACTGCTGTGATAGTCATACCTTGACCGAGGTCAACATTCCTACATCATTCCCAATGAGTAGGATATCGTCCACGTACAACACCAAAAAGGTGATCTTATCCCCACTGGATTTCCTGTAAACATAGGGCTCATCCGGATTTTGCTCAAAGTCAAATGTTTTGACTGCAGAATCAAATCGGATGTTCCAACTCCTAGAAGCCTGCTTAAGTCCATATATGGATCTTTTAAGTTTACATACCATGTGTTCCTGACCAGCAGCAATGAAGCCTTGCGGCTGCTGCATGTAGATGTCTTCACTAAGATCTCCATTCAGGAATGCGGTTTTGACATCCATTTGCCAAATCTCGTAGTCATGGTACGCTGCTATAGTTAGCAGGATCCTAATGGATTTAAGCATGGCCACGAGCGGAAAGGTTTCCTCATAATCGATGCCTTCTTTCTGAGTATACCCTTTTGCCACCAATCGAGCTTTCATGTTCCATTGTTTGGGTTCAAAAGGGAAAATAGTGGAAAAGTCAACTCTAACAATAATTATTAATTAATTAGTTAATTGGGTAAATACTAATATTTTATTATTAATTAACTATTAATTATTAATATTTTATTAATTAATTGTTTAAGTAATTAATATTGATAATTAGTTAATTAATTATTTATTAAGAATTGGTATATTAAAATTTATTTTATTAATATTTTCTATGAATTAATTAATATTTTTTTGTATTATTCATTATTTTTAATTATTTAACATTTTTATTATTTATTTAACTTAATTTAATCATTAATTAGACTAATAATAAAATCATTATTTATTTATTCATTAATTACTTTGTTAGTGAATTATTAACTATTTTGTTGTTAATTATTATTTAATTAATAATTTAAATACCTTTATTTTTGAAAAATTAGTTAAATATTAAATTGTTTTTATTTGATCAATTTTTTATGAATTATTTATTTTAATATATTTATTAAATCATTTTATTAATATATTATTAAATAATTAATAATTTATCTTTGCCTTATGGGTCTAATATTAACTCTTAGAAATACCAGAAGGAATGTTTTTTTATTAAACAAATTTCCTGTACATTTCCACTTGTTTCCCACCACAATGGTGGGATTCCACATCCCAAGAATTGGGATATATAATCCCACCTTTTTTCCATAGAAAGGAAACAAGATAAACAAATACAGGAACTGATGTAGTGAATATATCAGTATAAATGAATCAGAGATTGATTCCGATTCAATAGAAGTCCCCAAAATCAATAGCAGCAACTCCATTTTGAAAATCAAACTAAAGAGTATTGAAGAGAAACCGGCAAAATAATTTTTATCATAATCGGCTTAGGCCCTTGTCTCTTGTAATTTATAGTCTGTCCCGGCAGTTTTGGCCACTCCACTTGAATATATAAGTCGACGACTCTTGTCAGAACCACTCTGTTTTCTTTTTATCTAAGCCGGTGTTCTATCAGAACCATTTGCATACATGCAGTTTGACTAGAGTTTACTAGTTCAGATCTCTTGCACACATAAATTCGGTCCACGTCTACCTACACAACATAAAGAATATCTCATCCTTCTACATAATATTATATAAAGGTGTCGTTTTGAATTGGATCCCGCCCAGTCCAAAATCAATTTGGACGGATTGGATGGACCAATAAAGACATATTGGATTGGACCAATCTGGTCCAAAATATTTTTTAGAATGGATTGGACCTGGTCTGCCCGTAATAAAATTATATTGAATTGGGTTGGTTAATTTAAGCCAATATCTGGTCCATTGATATAAGATAAGAATATATGTCAATGGACTGAATTTGGGTTGAAATCAATCTAAATCAAAATAAATTTGAACAGATTGGATGGTCCAGACATTGAATTGGACCAGTCCAAATTGATCCAAAACAATTATTGGATTGGATTGGGCCTGATCCATTTATAATGGACTCACATTGGACTGGACCGGATTGGACCAAATCCAATCTAATTGATACCCCTACTATCGAGAGTAGTGTGTTGTGGGTAAATATGGTTTGAATTCTCGTGGACAGGAGATCTGGAGATGTTTGTTTGGCCCCCCTTAGGGTGGGAGATTATTGCATGTTTGGGTCTCCTGCTCACACCTATTCACACAACACTATAGCATCACATTGAAAGAACATCTCGCCTATACATGTATTGTCTGTAAGGTTTTTAAAACCAGATCCGACAGGGAACCACTATGGGACCATTCTAATAAAAAAAAAAAGCTAACAACCGTTGTCTGGATCAATGACACAACAGCCCATCGCCCAAGTCAGTGATTTGCTGATCAAATCATTGGTTTTTGATGAATAAAAAGTTTTGGGGTAAAACGAAACCAGTATAGTGATTGGGAGCTTTATATCTCTATGCCCGGTGGCCATGAGTTGAACTGTCGGTGCTGGCTTAGATCTAAGATATATAATAAAGCAATATAGGTTAATCCTTTTCTTTGATTCCCGATAAAAGAGGAATAAAATATTTCTTCTTGCACATGGATGAACATGCATCTTCTCTGCCTGACAATATCTTTTGCTGATTGTTTTATCTTGGACTCAATCTAACCAACCATTACTGTTTGAATTTGTCATTCCCAGCCTGCATCTTTTGGCATTTGAAATTTAATTCTTCTTTAAAAACGGAAGACCTTCATCTCTCTCTTTTTGCCTCACGTCCTCTCCCGCTCTCCTGATTATTTAAAGCGAACATCTTCCCTTCTCCATAAGCAGGTCTCTCTCTCCCCGCTTTTTCCTATTGTTGCAAGCAAGCGAACATCTTCATTACTCCATAGCACAGGTCTCGCTCTGCCGTCCCCTCCCCACTAACAGAAACTGTGTTAGATCGATGTTAGCATGCAAGTTAGATGGTCTAATTGTTTTTTTTTTTTTTTCCTTTTTCGTTTTCTTATTGCAGATTTACAGATTCTCTCCTACAATACTAGTCATCAGCAAAGATTTAAATCCTCACAGGTAAGTCTTTGTTAATGTATGCCGTACAATATATATTAGTATTTCTACCATTCTGACTTTTTAATTATACTCTCCATGATCCCACTGCTATAAGCCAAAGCCACAACAGTAATTAACAAGTAATCAAGAATTGAATTTCCATTAAATTAACATCATGCTTGGCAACGTTAGCTTTCTATCATATTTAAGATAGAGCAAGTATGCAATGCATGGGGTTGTATTAGATTCGGGTTAACAAACTTTGGGTTTTGACATCAGTTTGGGTTCATGTCTCACTTTGGTCTTGGGTTGGCCATTAACCCAATCGGCCCAACCCAACTATCATATTCAAGAGGAATTGAGACAGTTAATACGAGGGAAGATATTACAAATATTGGCTATGGGAGAGAAAAAAAAATTAATAATGAGTTTATTAAAGAGATTGATGATAGATTTTATTAGAGAAAATTAAACCTATGATGGTGCTTATTGTGACTTATATTTTTAATAATTTAATTTAAAGTAAATGACCAAACCTGAAATTTGAGAGGAGGAGGTTTTTGTGAGAGCATCGAGGTGAGAAGACTCTTAGCTTCCCTTTTTCCACTATATAATTACAGATCTAGATTATAGCCCTTATATAAGACCCAAAGATTTATGTCTTATCTCCAAATAATTCTTCGTCACTTGCCAAGCTATTGTTTCTCATCTTCCATCCTCAAGAGGAGATCTGTTTTGAAGAGAAAAATTACATCCCATGTTTGAACACTGAAAAATCTTGAATTGATTGTTTGTACGAGTCCTACTCCTGCTCTATATTCTTTGTTTTATTTCTTAGCAAACCTTTAAGAATAGTTGTTTTTTTTTTTCCTTTTTAATGTTTGAAAGGCCTTAGGGAACATTTAACCCCAAATTACATCATTGGGACCGACATCCATGTGTAATTGTAGTGACATATTTGTTTTTTTTTATAATCTATGCTACTACTAAAAGTGGGAACGAGGTCCAGATTCTGAACTTTTTGACTAAAATATTCCTATTTTTGAATTTAGTCTCTCTTTATTATAAAGGCAGAAAACTATAGAGATGATGGGGGCAAATGGGCCTTAATTTCAATTATTTTTCTTAAGTTATGTGATGGTGGACCCCAAGGGCCTTAGTTTCTTTATTCTCTTTAAGTTATGATTATAGATTATGTGTGTTAGTAGTGAGCCTTAGTTATGGGCCTGTTTCTCCTCTTTTATTATTGTCATTAGCACTGGCTGCCCTTGATACTAAGGGTAACCCTGAAATTGTCCTCATTATTACAATCAAAGTATAAAAGATATTCTTGAGGGCTGAAGAGAAGACCAAACTACACGTCCTTCCTTTTCTTCTATCTTCTCCCTCCACTTCTCACTCTTCCATCTCCTTCAATCTTCTTCTTCTCTCCTATTTTTCTTTTCTTTTATTTCAGATTATTATAGGTGGGATTTACAACTTGGTATCAAAGTAGCAATCCTAGCTTCTCTCCTCTTCTCCTTAATCCCATACACAGGTTATATGAAAAGTTGATTGGTTAATTGATTAGAAAGTGTCCAACCAAGTCAGAGGAGGTTTTTGGTGAAATTGCAATGTTGGTTTGAGGCCTAAGGCAGGTTCTTGGAGAGTTTTCTCATTAGTCATTACTGGGTATAGAGATAGTCTGGAAGTGGTGCTTGGGGATATAATAGAAGATTTTTTGTTATTGTTGAGATCTATCCACACTGGACAGGTTTCCATAGGTTCTAGTAGGAGTGACTAGACTTTCTCCCATTCTCCCATTTTGTCTGGTCTAATGAAAACCCTGATTTGGCTATTTGAAGAGTAGTTCTAGACTTAGGACAATAAGTCTTGAATAGTAACACCTTATGTTGATTTTCTTTCATCTTTGTTTGGCTAATGGAGTGAACTTGAGGTCAGATGAAACTGTCCACAGAATTTGGATTTGGTCCAAGAGGGTTTATTGAGACTTTGTTACGGGTAGTAACCTCAATAAAGTTGGATGGAACTAATTTCTTGCCTTGGTCTCAGTCTATAAAGATACATATTTGAAGTAGAGTAAAATGGGATACATCATGGACTAAGGAGAAACCTATTGAGGATGACCCTACCTATGAGAGGTGGATGCAAGAGAACTACATTGTAGTTGGTTGGTTAGTGAATTCCACGTAACTTCATATCAGTCAGCATTACTTGTGGACGGAGATTAGAAAATAGGTGTGGGACAGTGTTATAAAGACCTATTCCTAGAAAGTAAATGTTGTTAGGGCCTACAAGTTGAAGAATGATGTCAATAATTTAAGACAGTGGAAGAAACATTTAGCTATTTATTTCTCTATGTTGAAATCTAAAATCACTTTAGTAGGAGATTGACTTCATTCAGATAGTTGTGTAAGGGTGTACTAAAGATGTTGAGACCTAATGTGTGTTAGGGAGAGAAATCGGGTCTTTGAGTTCCTCGATAGATTCATTCCCAAGTATGACATTGTTAGACAAAATATTCTAGTGAAAGATGAAGTGACATTGTCCCAAGCCTATGCCATGGTTAGCAATGAGTTAAGTTAGAGGCAAGTGTAGGTTATAAAGGTCTTAACGAATCATTTTGAAAATGTTGGGATGAAGCCAAGGGATAGTACTAAGAAGAAAGATGTAGTATGTGATTTTTCCATGAAGCCTAACTATACGAGGGATACTTGTTGAAAGCTATACCCAGGTCTTATATCCCTAAGATTCAAGAACAAGAAAAATAGTAAGAAGAGTGGGACTGGAAAATGTGGCAATGCCACTGTAGCCACTTCTTTTAAGGTTGAAAAGGGTTCTTGTGATGATAAGTTAGTGGGGAAACAACTTGCCACTGCTAGAGTAGAGTATGAGAAGTATGAACGACACATTAGTCACTTAGAGTCCACTACTACAACTAGTACACCTTCAGGAAATGGCTCCTCATCCATATATGCCCAATCAAGTATTCGTACGACTACAAATCATTCTTCAATCTCAAGTAATCATAGGATCGTATGGATAATTTGATTATAGTGCCTCTAACCATATGACTGGTATGTCTCATTTATTTCTTTTACATACTAGCTTTTGTCTAGCCGAAACAAGATATCCCTTGTTGATGGCTCTCTTCCTCTTATCTCTAGCAAGGGAGACTTCAGAACTTCAAATACCTTCCCATTATCCTCAATTCATCATGTTCTCTGGCAAGGGAGACATCAAAATTGTAGTATAACCTTTTTCCCTTCTTACTATATGTTTTAGGGCAAAGAATCTCAGAAGGCGGTTGGGAATGTCCATGAGGCAAATGGGATAAACCTGTTGGGCATGGTTGGATAGAGTCAAGTTTCACCTTCAAGAACAACTTTTGGTTCAAATGTGTCAAAGTCAATTAGTCTATTATGTTATGTCATCATTGTTTGGGTCATATTTCTTTTTCTTCATTGAGTCTTTTGTTTTTAGTTTTGTTTAAGGATACTAATGTATTAAGTTTACCTTGTGAGTCATGCTAGTTGTCAAAAGCATGGTAGAAATTCTTAGTCTGCAAGTAATAAAATATCTACAATTCCTTTTCATATTGTTCACTCTAATGTGTGGGGCCAAACCATTTACCTTACATGGGTGGTTATAAATATTTTATTCTATTTATTGATGGCTTTTCTCATTACACCTAGATTTATCTTATGCATTCCCATGCTAAAATACCCAAAATTGTGAAGTAGATTTGTGAATTTGTACTTTCCTAATTTGATACTTGTACCAAGATATTTCGATCAGATAATTCTATGCAATATTCTAAAAAAGATTGTGTTTCATACTTTGAGAAGTTTGGGGATATACATTAGAGTTTTTGTCACTATACTCTAGAACAGAATGGGATGGTAGAGAGAAAGCACCGGCATGTTGAAATGGCCAAGACCATCGTTTTTGCCTCCCATGTTCTAGTGAGATTTTGGGGTGATGTAGTAATGAAAGCCATGCCTTCCCAAGTCTTGTTGTACAAATCTTCCTTTGCTGTCATGTTTTTTGAAAGTGAATTGTTTCCTTCCATGGATGTTATTTTTACTGAGTCACTTCTATTTTATGGTCATTCTTCCGAGAGGGAGCATTCCACTCAACTATTTGCTTCACCACTTCCTCTACCTTCTCTTATTGATTTTGGGGTTGAGTTACATGTGGTTCCTTTTGTTCTAGTAGCAGATCCTTTGTCTTCTATTTCTTTCATTCCTACTCTTCTTGCAAGTTCTCCAATTTTCATTACTTATCCTATTGTTCAGAGGTGGTACCGGAGACTACAACATGAATAGGTTGTTCCCATATCAACAGTTGAGCCTTATACACTCTCAACCCCTAAAGAGAGGACAAGTCCTTCACCACCTACTCCAAAACCTCCCTTCTTAGACTTGGACCTAATTATTGCTACAATAAAAAGGTAAGAGGAAATGTATAGCACAATGTATTTTTGAACCACTATCTTACAAACTGTTATCTCTATCTTAACCTTCATTTCTTCTCAACCTATACCCAAGTTAGTTACAAATGCCTTGTCTAAGCCAAAATGGAGGAATGCTATATGAACTGAATTAGCAACACTTCATAATAATAATACCTAGGATATTATGTATTTGTCTCGTGGGAAGGAACCAGTGGGATATACGTGGGTGTACAAATGCTAGGCCAAATGGGCCTTAGTTTCTTTATTTTTCTTAAGTTATGTTTGTTTGCTGGAGAGCAGTTGTAGAAGAGGAAGAAGAAGAGGAGAGAACAAATATGAGAATGAGCGGCAATAGTGTCTCGGCTGGTCCTAGAAGCTAATATAAATATTTACAATAAGAAGATACATAAAAGGACTAGAATGCCCCTAATTAGTGATGGGACACCTAGACATAATAAAGATACATAAAACATAAAACAAGTTTAGGCCCATAAAAGACTAATTAGCTTCTACACTTGATCTAGCTACCACATTTTGTTTTTCACTTCGCCATATAACCAAATTC